AGACTGAGGGCACTCTGCCTTGAAACAACAGGTCAGGTTTTGGGAGGATGGGGCACTTCCGGCCGTTGAGGATGGAACAGACTCCTTCAAAGCCTTTGTGAGGCCGTGGGCTCCTGGGACACCTCGCAGGTGATCACGATGCGGAGCATGTTTTCCTTAGCCAGGAGCTTCAACCATGCCCTGGAAGACTGGAACGTTTCATCGGTTGTGACTATGCGTGGCATGTTTGAGGATGCTGATAACTTCAACCACCCACTGGGAACCTGGCATACTTCAGCCGTGGCGGACATGAGCATCATGTTCGCCCGGACGGATAGGTTCAACCAGCCCCTGAATGGATGGGACACGAGTTCTGTGAAGAACATGAGCTGCATGTTCATTCATGCGACAGGTTTCGACCAGCCGCTGGGGCGTTGGAATGTCTCGGCTGTGGTGGATATGAGTCAAATGTTCTCCGGTGCGACTGCTTTTGATCAGCCTCTTGGCACTTGGGACTTTGCGTCGGTGAATGCCAGCATGATGGAGGGCATGCTGACAGCCAACCACATGTCTCGGTGCAATCTACGATCCTTGTCCCAAGCAAGAAGGTTGCCAGGGAGGTTGAAACGCTACTGGGGCTTTTCCACCTGTTCCAGTTGTGAAGCTCGCCGATGCCCTGATTCCAAGCAAGCTTGTGTGGATGGAGAGTGCCACCCAGTGAACTCGAACTTCATCGAGGTTGGCCAAGGTCAATGGGGCCAAAACCAATGGACACCACAGCAGCTGCAGAAGGTGGATTTGGTTGATGTGGCTCCGACGTACCGTGGCTGCGCCGAAGTCTGTGAAGGGTTTGTGAACTGCTCGGCCTTTGTCTTGGAGAAGGGGCGATGCGCCCTGTACATCGGGAAAGGGCTGCCAGAGAAGCGTGGGGAAGGCGGGGGGCTCAAGGGATATCTGAGAACACTGAACTTGCTTTGTAATTATGAGTGCCAAATGCTGATTGCCGTGTTCACCTACTACCTGTTGTGCTTTGAATATCACCAGGGTTGGAGCTGAATCTTCAAATCCACTCTGTGTTCACGGACTGCCCTTTGTGCCAGGCACGGCCCGAGCCTTCCTGAAGCCTCGCTGCGAATTCTTCACCTGCCCAGCTGAGGGCGTCCTGACGGGCGTTGAGGGCCCAGCTGTCACAGCGGCGTCCTGCTGCCGCTGCCGAGATGCCACTCGAGTGAAGGATCTGAGTGCAGCGCCAGCCAACCTCCACTGCATCTCATGCCCCGCAGGGTGGGAACCAATGACTTGGAGCTCATGTAGGCCTTGTCAGCCCGGTTTCATCGCGAGAGGCTCGAAATGTGTTCGCTGCGGCGAAGGTTTGGAACCCAACGCAGCCCAAAGTGATTGCAGGGACTGCCCACCAGGGCACTTTGCGACGGCAGACATGGATGCATGCAAACCATGTGAATTCCCCAGAATGCTTTTTGGCGACAAGTGTGCCCCGTGGCCCTTGGTGGTCATTTTGCTCTTCTTGTTGGTTTGCGCAGGCGTCATGTTCTTTGTGTCCAGGGCAGTCCTGAAAGCTGGGCGAAAGAGGACCCTTGCACGAGTACAGCAAGCGCAGAAGCTGGTGCAAATGCTAGATTCCGACCTGTGGCAAGCGGAGGAGACGACCACGGTGGAGACCTATGCAGCACAACTGCAAGAGCTTGGCTGGACGCGTGGGGAGGTAGTTCAGAAGGCTGGCGAGATCCGAGCCCAGCACAGTAGGATTGCAGGAGTCAGCATGCGATACTTGCTTTCGGATTTCACTGACTTGGCAGAGCAGAGGGCACAGAAGCCAAATCCCGACTTTCATGAGCTGAAGGTGGCATTTTGGTTCGGTGCTGATCCCTTGGGAGAGCAGGTCCCCTGCCCACGTGATGGGGAACCAGGCTGTGCCTTAGTAGACTTACTGCCCAAAGCCGATCGAAAGCCTCAGACGCATTTCATGTCCTGGACCTGGAGGTACACTTTGAAGCAGATCCAAAGTGCTTTGGCGATTTGGAGCAGCTCCACAAGGATTGAGGCCGAAAGGGTCTTTTTCTTCATGTGCTTCTTTGTGAACAACCAGTTCCGGATCATGAAAGACCAGTCAGTTCGCTCGGGAAGTGATGACTTGGACCACGTCTTCGAATCCAACCTGCGGCGGATTGGACAAGTGGTGGCCATTCTCGATGCCTGGCACGAGCCGATCTACTTGCAAAGAGTCTGGACCGTCTACGAGCAGTACGTGGCCTGCTCGCTGGAGGTGCCCGTGACCTTCGTCATGCCTGCAGAGGCGCAATGGTCCTTGACCGCCGAGATCAACCGAGGCGAGCCGGGCATCAACGAGGTCACGGCGTCGCTCTGCCAGGTCGACTCGGCGAATGCGGAAGCCTTCGATCCAAGAGATGAGTTCAAAGTGAAGAAGGTCATCCAGGATGGACTGTAGGATACTGTAGGGATTTGGAGATTTTGTGGATCCGTGAAGGGCTTTGAATGGTTTTGATATCGTTGATCCAGGATCTGAGTAATTAGTATGACTACCTTGAGTCTCGAATACCTTTTGTTTTTGTTTTGGGTCCAATATTTTAGTGTTTTTGCTCGAAAAATGCGTTTTCAGAGATGAGGACTCAAAAAAAAATAGGTACAGAGTGATACAGAGTGAGTGAATCTTCATCCGGACGCGTCCGTGCGGACACTTAAAGACACCTTTTGGACGCAAACAGACGCCTTTTGGACGCCGAAAAAAAGTCTCAGGAAACGGTCTAAGGAGGATCTGACAGGGCACAAACAAAAAGGAACACTTCGTGACATATGCACCAAAAAATCCAAAAAACAAGTGCTTTCTTTCAAACACTTCTTTTTCTTTGAATGGCAATTTTACAAGGGTCATTAGAGACTCAAGGCATATTATTTGAGTAGGATTCAGTTGGCTACGGGAGTTGTCAACTTGTGACTTCGATGTCCTTTTGCCTAAAAGATATAGAGACCGATGCTGCTGGTGCTGCTAACCTGCCTCAGGTACTGTATGTGTTCAGCTCTGACAGAGTTTGTTGTTTTCGGATCTTGTATATAATATATAGGATTATATAGGTAAATGACTTCCGGGCACAGGGTCAAGCTGTTCAAGTCTGCAGGAGACCGTCGGCTTTGAAGAGGTGAACGAGCACGTGCGCCAGGCCCTGGTGCAGTGGATCAGCGGAGTCGTCCGGCTGCAGTTCCAGGAGCTGCTGAAGCGCCAGGCGCGGCCGAAACGCGCCGAGCCCGAGCCCGAGCCCGCCGAGCCGGTGGCGGGGTCGGCTCCAGCGTTAGCGGGTGGCGGCCACGAGGTGGGCCGGCAGATCATCCCCATTTAATTCAGGATTTTAATGGGGGCGCCATAGGAGCGCCCAGGGCAGGCAGAATCTTATTTATGAGGTTTAGAGCATCCATGCGATGAATCAGTATATACATCAGCCTGAATGGGCAGGTTTATGTTGTTTTGGAGTCCTATTCTGCATTATTTTACCATATTCTGCTTGTCCTAGATGCACTTGAGCCGCAAATTCACGTAATTTTTCGACCTTTGACTGCAAAAGCGACAGTCCTTCAGCAGCAGTTGAAGCCACGTGTTGGAACAAACGAGTCAGCCACCGCCCTGTTGCAAGCTTAGACTCCTCCAGCTGGTTTTTGGACAGGTCCCTCATGGTGTTCTGCCTGAGGCTCTGGACAACCGATGCAGACCCTGAACCGGACCTTCCGGTGCAGGGCTTGATTGGACCTGAACGGGCAGAGGTGGATCAGAACCCGTTCGACTATCCTAGTTCGGTACCCTGGTTACGGGTCCTAGTTCAGGTCACTGAACCTCTGTAGGTTGCTTTGTGCAGTGCAGTTCTTTTGTTTCATGTTCCTCAGTCCTTTGTGGCTCAGACTCGCCCAGGTCGTCCCCATGGGGGAAGCTGAAGCGCCCGTCGATGTCGAAGCTCCGGCGACGTCCAGGTCGGTGGGTTTCTGCGACATCGCGAAGCACTTTGTGCTGATGGGCTGGACCGCCTTCGGGGGGCCTGCGGCGCATGTGGGCCTCTTCCAGAAGACCTTCGTAGAGAGGAGGGAGGGAGATGGGGAGGATGGGGAGTTTGAAGGAGATGCATGAAAGAGGATGAAAGAGGTCATAAGATCACCACTGGCATGTGGAGCTGGTACTGAAAATTATTGGAGCACGTTTTGGGTGGCTCAGGGCAAGAAGATTCCTGGGCTTTTGGCGGGACCACTGACTGTCAGGGAGTTAATGGCTGCAGGGAGTTGGTGGAGCATTCTTTCTAAGCATGGGGGGACCTTGCTCCAAAAGATGCCCGAAAAGCACGTAAGGCATTCCAACGAACTCTCCCAGAAGACCCTCAGTGGATCAAAAGCCTTGGTTCCTGACTCATTGGCGAATGGTTTTCTCGAAGCGAACGTGGAAAATCAATCAGGCTGGGCTGGATGAGTGCAGACGTCTTCACTGAGCTCTTTGCAGTCTGTCAATGCATGCCGGGTCCCAGCTCCACTCAGATGTCCTTTGCCTTGGGCACCACGAAGCAGGGCATCCTGGGTGGACTGCTCAGTGGGATTTTATTCCAATATCCTGGGGCCATCATGATGACCATCCTGGGCATGACGGCGCACAACTGGGCGACTCCCCAGGCCGGGTGCGATGACGGAAGGGCTGGTCCTAGGTCCGGGTTAGCTGGGGCTTGGATTCTACCAGCACCCGACCCCAACAGGTCTCCTAAAGAGGCTAAGTGCTTGGGCCCAAAAAACCAGTTGAACCGGACCTGTCGAGTTGGATGGTAGATTCCGACTCTGAGTGGGTTTTTTCGTTTTTTTTCTCATGCGCAATGCGCACCGAAGGTTCAGGCTTGGCCATTCTTCTAAGACCGTTTCTTGGTCCTCACTTCTTTCTCTTCATTCCTCACCAAAGACGACTCAGTGTTTTTTTTTTTTTCGGTTTCTCGCCTCGTGCAGCGGCTTCCCGCCAGCGGCTTCCCGCGCTTGCGCCTTCTCCAGGTCATCGCCGAGCACACGTGGTTGGCGGGTCTGGTCGGTGGGCTCAGTGCGGCGGGAGTGGCCTTGGTGGCCTCGGCGGCGATTGGGTGACCTGGAGCCGAGGAAAGAGTTTTGGGGCATGGGGACGGGGACTGGACTTGGATGGTTTTGGATTTCTTGAATCCTGGAGTTGTCCCAGACACTCCATATGGGACTGCCATATATGTACCTACTTTGACCCCCCTGGCACCACCCCCAATGTAGGATAATGTAGGTGTATATATAATATATATGCCATATACATGGAGTGTTGGTATTTTTGGACCATGGTTTTTCTAACCCAGGCACTCCATGGGACTGCCATATATGCCGCCCCATTGATCCCCCAGTCAACCACCCCTGGCCTGATGCGGCAGTCCTATGGCAGTCCCATGGGTCGCGTCTGGGTATACCATGGTATACCTAGATCCTCTAACGGGCTTTAATACCTGCCTTTTGCTTGAAATCTGCCTTTCTACGAAAAAGGCAGGAAAAAACGCCCTCGGGCGGATCTTCCAAATCAGGTGGTTTCAACGAGGAGCCGTAATTTGCAAACTGCAAAGCTCAAACAGGTCTACATGTAAAACAATAGAGACTTTCTGGGGTTTCAAAAAGGCGGAACTTCCCGGAACTTCCCGGCATTCGGGCGGATTTACCCGAACACCCTGTTTTGTAATATGTTGTAATCATGATTCATGACTTTTTTTGGCACTGATGTGCTTTACAAATTCTGAATTTCTGCAACTGCCTTCGGGCAGAAATTTCTGCCTCAGGCGGAAATCTGAGGTTCGGGCAGAAAAAACCGCCTGAAACCATTCAGGCAGAAATAACTGCCTGAGGAACATCTAGGTATATATATATATATATATGCCGTTATATGCCATACATGGAGTGTTTGTAAGTTTAGACATGTTTTTTTTCTAATCTATTTGCACCCGTTCGCATGAGGCTGCTCGGTCGTTTGAAGGTCGAAAACAGCTCGGTCGTTTGAAGGCGACCTGAAGGTCTCGATGATGAAGTCGGCACGTAACAAAGATGGTGTCGGGTTTCTTCGGACTTTCTGAAGATGGTGTTGGGATATGGGGTTATGACCCATTTGGAGATGGGTGTAGGATAACCCATTTGGATATGGGGTTATCGTTTTTCGTAGGATCTGAATCTATCATGCCGCTGTCAGATCTGTGATCTGGGGGACTGGACTGGAGTTCCTTGGGGGGGGGGTTCTGATCAATATAGTCCATATCTGGGTCACGGTACCGAAGGCTCTCGAACCGGAAGGAACTGGATGCGGGCAGAGATGTCAAGCGAGTGGGAAGTGTGGGATCGTGGGAAGTTTGGCGAAAAGACCCATCTCTCATTAATGTGTTTAATATCAAAGACATGCAACTTGTATATGCAGTGGTGTACATCTCTACGTTTTACACCTGTTTTAACCAGGTGTTGAGATCCCAAGTCCAGCGCTGGCTGGACTGGCTAGACTGATCTCCCAGGCTTTGGGCCAAGGCCTGCGGCCCAGCGGACGCCAAAGCCCTCGCAGGATTTTGCTGCGTCGCTCCTGGGCGCACTGGGACAGTCCAGCGAAGTGGAACCCGCCACGTCTTGGGTCTTAAAGACGTGATCAAAAGACCAAAGGAACATGTGATGTATCAAGTTTAAGGTGCCACCCGTGGCGGCCATTTTGGTTGACTTTGTCTTCACCCATGAAGCACGCCCGATGTAGATCCCCACCGCGTGGAAACAACATGAAACAACGATAGCCTTCCCTCGTGGCAGAGGTGCTGCTGTACTACTCGGCGGAGCTCATTGCGCCAGTGGAGCGCAATGGGCGCGATTGGATGTGGATCTTCCCTTTTCTCATCATCCTAGGAGGCCGGCTCTTGGCTTGGCCACCTCATGCAGGATTCAGGATTGTGCAAAGCACCAGTTGTTCCAATGTGGAGAAAGATCATTTGGTACCGCGAACAAGATTTGAACACATAACATAATAGATCATGCCAATGTTTCGACCTGATGCACATCACCACCTTCCTGAATGTATGTTGAAGTTTCGCTCCACCTTTTGGAGTCTTAGAGGGCTGCAGGGCGGGGGATTCTGCACCCACCACTTCACTGAACTGCCTGTCCCTGCTCAGCTATGCTGCTCAGCTCAGGCGCCTTCACCTACTTCTGGAGACCTCCTCCCGAGACGAAGGCAGGCGATGTGCCCAGTACCGAGGACAGTGGCGTCGAGCACTTCGGGCTCGGGCGCGTGGCGGGCGCGGCGGTGATCGTCGCCCGGTGCACCAGCGGGGGGGGGGAGGCGAGGAGCATCCAAAGTGGAGCTGGCCGCGACTGCGACCAAGTGGGGAGGGTATCTACTGTATCATACTGTATCTATATATATTGCTATATATTAATGTTATATATTAAATTGTTATTTTGTTTGGTATATATATATATTATATATTGATGCACGTTTGTTTGACAAGTGGTGTTGCCCCTTGGGTGTGGCTGGAATTCTCGGGGGTCATAGGCTACATGGCTACCTTGGCGCTGCTTCGGAAAAATCGCAATGATGGGTGCACAGAATCTTCAAGGCCAACACTGACCACAAGTCACAACCTGTTCCAGAAACTCTTGTCTTGCACCACAGCTGGTACATCCTTCATCCTTTCACAAACGAACACATCATGCATCGCAAAGCTGGGACTAAGCTCCCAAAGACCTATCGTTTTGAGCCATCGTCGGCTGGCACACTAGAACAAGATCAGTGGAGCTATCACGAGCTGGGTATCTCAAGCAGCTCGATGAAACAAGTTTCCTCTTCCACTCCAAGCCCGCTGTCTGTTTGAAACTGAACTGGTTGTGACACTGAGGAAAGTGGCCAAGGAATTCTGGGCCAAGTTTGCTACGAAGCAGTTGCGAAAGGCCTCAGCACGGCCACGCAGGTTATCTCCTACAGGTTGCTTAAGGTCTTCCGATTTCTGTGCACATAAATTTCCTCGGTCTTCTCTGGCAAATCCTGGGACCGACTTTGCGTACAGCAGGCCAACGCAACGGCACACACAGAAGCGCAGGTATTCACAAGCTGAGCTTCTCCAACAGGTTTGGGCCAAGCACCAAAGGCCATGACGATGCATGCCAAAACGTGGAACTTTGTGAGCTTGTCTGCCTGAGTCTGCCCAAGAATTTAGCAAGTGCTACGTGGTTCACTTCTGCTTTCTACATTCTCCATTCTCCTTTCAAAGCAACCTCATTACTTTGATAGCCTCACATCTTTAGCCGCTGGTGAGCCGGCCAAACCGCTGGCAAACCATCTTCCCAAACTCCGGCAGAACCGGTCAGCACGAGAAGCGCCCACCCGTTTCACTTCGCACCCGACGGTGCACCCGCGCCCGGAGCGTCGCTGTGTTTCTCGTCGCCGCCGGACGTCTTCGGCTTCTTCGCCTCGGATCATCGGAGGACTCGGTCACACTCAGTCCTGTGGATCTCTATCTCTGCCCCTCTTGGCACATCTGCATCTCTTGGCCTCCAGGTGAATCAAGGTCACGGCTTTGCGAATCGTCGTCAGGTGAATCTGTGGGCCGAGGCCTTGGTGCCAGCCCCCCCTGGGCCCCTCACGTTGGCGCTCAGGAAAGCGCAGAATCCGGCAACGGTGTGAGCCGATGCCAAAAAGGTCTTGGAGAAACACTTATGCAGCCTATCTTCTTCAATTGCTGCAAGCATTTCTGCTTGGACGAGTTTGCTGGCTTAAGAAAAACTGTGTAATGAAAGCGGGAGATGCTCGCTTTGGGCACCTGTGCTCGGTCGAAACGTCTATGACTCTATGATTGGCCACCTGCCTTTCCGAAAGTGCGAAAGCGGAACCGTTCGGGTGCCTCCGTATGGCGGAAACGACGTGCTTCCAAACCATCATCGTCTTTTAAGAATCCATGCCGTCATGCGTTGCAAAGAAGTCCAATGCATCGGTCAAAATGGCTCCAGCGACAGTCACGAAGCCGTGCCGTCACGGGCGCCCGCCAGCTATGCGTCAGTCGATGGCTGAAGCAATCGGAGCTCTGAAACCGGTCTTCGCAGGGCCAACTGGGGCAGAAAAAAGGTGGTTGAACTGGCTTGGAGAGAAAAATAGCAACTTGGCAAACTTGGCAAACCCGGGACCTTTTGCACTCCTCGACTCCTTGTCGAATTCAACCTACGGCTGCCACTCCGGAACATCAACAGCTAGAAGACATCACGATGCCAACCAGCCCACTTAATTGGGTACGGGATTGCAAAGCAAATGGGATGTTGTCATTGGAAGCAGAACGGTGCAGCGCTGGACCTGGGCTGGCCAGCCTCCAGCCGAGCTAAGCTGGCTTCCTGTCTCATCAATGTGGGAACTGCCCATGAATGCTTTGACCAAACAAATGCAACTATTCCTGTCCATCCACCACACCAAAAGGTCTGGATGTTCAAATACGCCCCACACAAATCCAGGTTGATTGTGTTCCTTCTCTGCCCTGCTTCAGGAACCGTCACAGTGCCGCCGTCTCGCTCACCTCCCCACTTCTGCTGAGGCTAGCGCTGGGCCCGCCCAGGACCACCCCTTCACAGGTGATCGAATGTCCAACCAAAACTGCTTGGCTCAAAGGTCACAGCGACACTTTGCTCCAATTCCAGTCCCCCCACTTCGTAAGATGCTCACATCGCAGGTGCAGCAGTTTCTCCGGCGGACAGTCAAGCTGAAAGTGGCGTTCCAACTCGCCCGACGCCGAGTTGGCGGCGAGTGGGACCAAAAACGAAGGGGGTGGGGACTTGCGGGTGCGTCTCCCAACGTCTCGAAGCTCTTGCCGGGTCTTCCCAGCAAAACAAATGCTCAAATTTGGGGAACTGTCCTAACCTATGTCCGTTGTTGGAAAGCAACCGCGGTCAATCTAAGCTGAGCAAGTACAGCGTGCTTTTTCCAGTGGGCGTGTGCTCGTGTGCGCTTCTGTGCGCTGGTTTGCAACTTTGTGCGCTCGAACTGCGGCTTGGAAAGAATGCGCGTTTAGAGTGTTCTTGCTCGTTTGAGCCAAATCTGTTCATTTGCCCCAATACCGCCTGATTCGTAAAACAGCGCTACAAAAAGCAGGTTGAACATGTATTTGAGATTCTTCGAAGATTCAATCGTTCATGGACTTTGCAAAAATATGCCCACATGAAGTGGTTCAACTGATGTTCACGGGGCCTCTTCAGCTTCCAACCACAGATCTGCTCATGCGAAGATGCTGGTTTCAACCATGTGCCAAGTCGATGTGAAATGTCAAGGCAAGCGCTTGGACCGGACAAACGCCATGTAGCAAATGCATCAGAAAGATTCTGGGTATGACAACACTAATTGACCCATTGCCGTCCCTTCCCAATGCGCAACTTCACAATCGCTGACGCTCAAATAAACCTGGCTCTTCATCAGCTCAATGCAACTGTGGACTGCTCACATCGGCTAATGCCTAGGGATCCAAGTACCTCCTCAGAAGGTACTTGGACCCTCCATACCCACATAACAGTGCCTCCAATCACCTTCTGAGAAGGTACTTGGATCCCTGGGAATGTTTTGTGCAGAATGGCTTGACGCCGGAGCTTGCTGCTCGCTAAAGTTCAGCTTGACATTTGGTCAACAGTGCATGCGAGGAAATGGCTGCGGCTAGTCTAGCTGTATCTACCAACGGGGTGCCACCGGGCATCACTCTGGTCTCCTAGTGAACTAGGCTCCAGCAAGAAACTTTCCCAGCTGCTTGATCACACGACAACTTAGCATATCGTTGCTCTTTCTTGTTGTGGTTTTTATGGTCCAGAGTCCACACCCTAGCTCATCCCCTGACCTGCAGGGGTGTGGAAGTGGCCCACCTGTCCGGCTGGTGATGCACCCGGAGATTGCACCCGGGTGCGTCACAGCCACCGGTAGCCCATACCGGCCCTCTCATGGCTCTTTCTTGCACAAGTTGTTCAGTTGTTCCACACGGCTTCGAAAGAAGCACGTCTTCTCCTTGAAATCAACCAACAATTCCAAAAGTCCTTGACTTTGACTTCCTCGACTTCCGTTGTGGAAGCTTGACTTCCAAATGGTGAAATGGCATGAAAAGTCAAAACGAGAAACCTCAAAGCCCTTTCTCCGATGGTGAAGGCTTACAGTGTCATGCGACACCGCTTGATTGGAACGTCTACGGTGTACTGCTTCGTTGTATCACCAGCTATGCTGCAGATTCCGTAGGCATTGTGGGACTTTCAGGTGACAAGGGACGTAAACTTAGCCTTTGTGACTACTTCGATACCAAACACTCAAGTTGCCGGACACTCAAGTTTCTTCCGTTTTCAGTTTGCATCAAAGAAGGGAGTCGTGTCATAAAGGGGAAGTCATTGAAAAGTTCTTCACTTTCATGTCCTGGACTTCCGTTGTGGAAGATTAACTTCAAAATTGCGGAAAGTGGATAAGTGACCTCAAAGCCCTTTTGTTGTGGTGTCTATGGTCCACACCTGTCTGCCGTTCCACCTGGGGATTGAACCCGGGTGCGTTACAGCCACTAGACCATACCGGCCCTCTCATTGCTCTTTCTTGCCGAAGTTGTTCAGTTGTTCCACACGTCTTCGAAAGAAGCACGTCTTCTCCTTGAAATCAACCAACAATTCCAAAAGTCCTTGACTTTGACTTCCTCGACTTCCGTTGTGGAAGCTTGACTTCCAAATGGTGAAATGTCATGAAAAGTCAAAACGAGAAACCTCAAAGCCCTTTCTCCGATGGTG